TTTTTGAGATAGGGTCTTACTATGCAGTTTAGGCTGGCCATGAACTTAGTATGTAGCCCAGGCTGGCCTCAAAGTCATGGCTATCCTCCTGCCTCAGCCTCCCAAGTGCTGGGATTATAGGAATACACCACCACACCCAGCTACATAGCTCTCTATGGACCAGAGAAGGGCTGATGGTTTATTTATTTATTTATTTATTTTTGCCTTTTTGAGACAGGGTTTCACTCTGCAGTTCAGGCTGTCCTTAAACTCATCTGTAGCCCAGGTGGGCCTCGAACTTGCAGTAATCTTCCTGCCTCAGCCTCCTGGGTGCTGGGATTGCAAGTGTGCGTCACCACACCTGGCTGAGCTGCTGCCTTACAATGGTACTATTCAGGCTGGCCTTGAGCTCACTTTGTAGCCCAGGCTGGTCTTGAACTTGCAAGGATCCTCCTGCCTCAGCCTCCTGAGTGCTACAATTACAGGTGTGCACCACCACGCCCAGCGAGGACACCATTCTGATGCAAGAAGTTAAAAATCAATCAGTGCAGTGAGGTTGAATTGCATGCTGTTTTCCACATTTGAGTTTTTACCTACTTTAGGATGAAGGATAATGGTCTGGTCATATTGTCAGACAGAAGGACAATGGAAAACTAGTCTGTTAGTTCAATGCATCTGTGAAAATCACCATGGGAATTTGAGGGATGCATCAAAATAGAGCATATTTATGCCCAATGGAAGAACAACCTTCCAGAATTGGAAGTGAATTTCCCAGGATGTTGACTTGAAGGGGCCATTGCAGCCATGATCCAAGGAGTAGATAGAACACAGCAGCAAAGTAGAGATCTAGACATATTACTCTTGCATCCTCTGAGGTACAAAATGCCAGTCAGGGACAAGAGAGAGAAAAAAGAGAATAACACTGAATAATATATTGCTCTGGGGCAAGGTCCCCAGAGAGAAGGCACCACCACACAGCTGCCTAATAGATCACTCTTTATTTTTTTATACTAAGGAATGAACTCAGGGCGTTTGCACTGAAATACATCCAAATCCCATTTTCACTTTTTTTGTTAATTTTAAGGCAACGTCTTGTTAAGTCACTAAGTTGCTTGGGCTGGGCTCAAACACAAGCCTCCTGTTTCAGGTAGGGTAAGTTTAATGGACTGCACTGAACTAGTGTGGATAGCCCTGGGGGGCACAAATGGATCCTGACAGGAATAGACACTGATTTTGGCCAAGCTTTGTATACTCAATGGGAGTTGAAAATGCAAAAAATACTATTAAATAATTGAAACAAAAGGTACTGTGCTATTTTGCTGAGCCAATTTAGTTGAGCTTTTAAACTTCTCAAGCTGACACAATCAATCAATCATTACAGGTGATGTAATAAAAATACATCTGATCTTTGTACCCAGCTCATGGCAGAGTTTAAAAAACCTCTGGAATTCTCTGAGTGATGGGAATCTCTCTGTTGTAGTGTATTGACAACTCCTGGTCAACTTATAACCTCCAGCTGAACTGAGTAAGTGTGGTGCTGAGTGTGGGAGGCCCACCTGGGGACTGTTGCCAACAGCGTAAGAGGCAGAACTGGAGAAGGAGAAGTTAGACTGTTGGGAGCTGGCAGAAGCTATAAGGAGCTGTTGGTTGTTTTGGATGAGCTCGTCATGCTGGCTTTCCTGATGAACTTGGCTGTTTTCATTCTCCGAGGAGTTTGGGATCTTGTTATCGCTGAGAATGGCTTCAGTTCACTTTGGGGGTGCTCTAGTCCTTACCTTGCACATCGCTTCCTGGCTCCAGAGAAGATGGTGCACTGCCGTTCTCCTGAGAAGCTTGCTGCGTTGGCTTTCCTGATGGGAACTCGGCCATCTTGATCATTGGAGGAGCTCAGGACCTCACTGTTGCTGAGGATGGCTGTGATACCTTTCGGGGGAGCTCTGGTTCTTCTTTTGAGCATCGCTTCCTGGCTCCAGTGCAGACCCCTCAGCCTGCTGGCACAGATCCTTCATCCCGCTGGCACAGACTTTCTAGATTCCACCACTGACCTTTAGGCCTTCCCAGCGCAGATCCGTGAAACAGGCCTGCATGAGATATTGTCATGGGTTCTGGGCCTCCAGTTGGATTCATGGGAGGCATTGTTATGGGCTGTAGGTCTTCAGCTGGACTCACATAGGACATTATCGTGGAATCCAGGCCCTCAGCTGGATTCCTAGTCTAGTGTGTGGACAGATTTCCTGTATTCTCTTGTATATCATTCTTTGGGTGACAACTATAAATAATCTTGTAAAATATGTGTCCTGTATATTATTGTTTCCCCTTGCAAAATATTCCCCAAACCATAACATCTGTTACGATAATTAAGTGTACAAAGCTGTCTACTATGCACTAGTTACCAACTTGCTTAGTCTGGTGAGACAGAACCTGCACACAAGTCCATGAAGCACGGTTATTACTTAGAGATAGGCGACAAGGGACAACAGAATCCTAGAATTCATTGCAAGCCAGTTGCCACCAAGGCGGAGGAAAGTTCTCCAAATGCATAGGATCTTGTCTGTGTGTGTCCTACTTGCACCACAGCTGAGGAACTCAGGCTAGAAACCATCCTAGGTCCCATAACTCAGGGAAAGCAAGGAGTTACTGAGATAAAGCGTTGAAGGACATCCTATTTGTAGGGAAAGTGGAACAGAGCACAGACCATGCTGGCTAATCCCTTCACATCATAGGATGCTTCCTTCTCAGCTCATTCATTTTTCTCCCAAGCTTATTCTATAATTATTTTTGAGAGCTATATACAAGAAAGAGCATAAAATTGAGTCAGTCAAAGGCCACTTGCTGTCCTCCATGGTGATTCCAGCCTGGGCCTCTAGACAGCTACATGTCAGAAATCCAACCATGTGACCAAGGGCTGGAATTGTCATTCCTTCTCCTCCAAACTTTGGAGCATTAAATTCAGTTACATGGAGCTGATGATATAGCTCAGTGGCACAAACGCCTGCCTGGCAAGTGCAAGTCCTCAGTTTGATTTCCAGTACCCCAAAAATAAAAAAAATAAAAAAGAATAAATTCAGTTACATGACCAGTAATGATTTAACTGATCATGTCTACATAATGAACTCTCAATAAAAACTCTGGACAATGAGACTCAGGTATTTCGTGTCAGAGTTAAACTGAAGAGCCAGGCGTGGTGGCGCACTACATTAATCCCAGCACTTGAGAGGCTGATGCAAGAGGACTGTTGTGCGTTTAAGGCCAGCCTGGACTACATAGTGCACATGAACTACATAGGAAGACCATTTCTCAAACTACCCCCCTCCCAAATTAGACTGAATTCTAGAACATCCATCCAGTTGCTATTAGAAAATTGATGTCAGACACAGCAGTCATGATGGTTTCCTGAGTTCTGTGAGGTGTTCTAGTGAACTATCAAACCTGAGGGAGTAATGGGAACACCCAAAACATATAACCAGCTGATCAGAGTCAAGAAAGCCCATGGATCTCTGAGTGAAGCGAGGGCAGTCTGGTGGAAGACCACACCTTTTACTGAGAAATTTGACCCAGTTCCAGGTAGTTGGCGATAGAAGCCCACACGGAATATTAACCAATCATAGGAAGAGAAGTTACAATACAGATAAACATTGAAAATATTATGCTAAGTGAGAGAAGCCAGACACAAAAGACCAAACAGAACATAACTCCATTTATAAGAAATGTCTGGCATAGGCAAATCTGCAGACAAAAAAGTAGACAAGTGGGGGGCTTAGGGCTGGGGGCTGTGGTGGGTGCGGTGGGGTTAGGAAACTGAAGGCTACGGGGACTCAGATTTCTCCTCTTCTTTCTCTTTCCTTTCTTCTTTTTTGGCAGTGATGGTGATTGAACTTAGGGCCTTGCACCTGCTAGGCAGGTGCTCTACCACTGACCTACAGTGTGCCACTTGTACATCCTCATCCCTCAAGTTCTATTTTTCTTTTTAAATTTTTTTAAGTACTGGGGACTGAACCCAGGGCCTTGGCCCTGAGCTACACCCCCAGCCCTTTTTAATTTTTATTTTGAGATATGGTCTCACTAAATTGCCCAAGTGGAACTCAAACATTCTATCCTCCTGCCTCAGCCTTGCAGAGTATTGGGATTACAGGCATGCACCATCATGCCTGGCTTCAAGTTTCTTTATAATATGATAGAAATGTAATGAAATTAACTGTGGTGGTGGTTGCACATACCTATACATATACTAAAAAACACTCATGCTTCATTTGTTTATCTTTTTTTGACAGGGTCTCACTATGTAGTTCAGACTGGCTTTGAACTCATGGTGATCCTCCTGCCTCTGCCTCCTGAGTGCTAGGATTACAGGTGTGTGCTACCATGCCTCACTGAATCACACTTTAAATGGGTAAATTTCTTGGTATATGACTTACTCTCAAAAAGAAATTAAATAAATAATGATACCTTTTAGAAATATATATTGAAATAGTAGGGATAAAATAGAATGCTTAGAAGCTGGGCATGGTGGTGTACACCTGTAATCCCAGCACTTGGGAGGTTGAGGCAGGATGGTCATTGTAAGTTTGAGACCAGCCTGGGCTACACAGTGAGCTCGAGGCCAACCTGAACTGCATAACAAGACCCTGTCTCAAAAAGACTGAAAAAGAAAAAAAGAAAAAAAGGATGTTTGGGAATTGCTTGAAAATAATTTCCTGGGGATGGAGAGTGGAACAGAAGAAATAACTCTGGCCACAAGTTGGTAATTGCTGAAGTTGAGCACATGGTGGTTCATTATACTATTCTTTCCACTATTACTTACGTTTGAAAGTTTTCATAAAAGAGTGGGCATGGTAGCACATGCCTACAGTCCTAGCATTCAGAAGGCTGAGGCAGGAGGATTACCACAAGTTTGAGGCCAGCCTAAGCTACAGAGTGAATTCAAAGCCTGTCTGAACTACACAGTAAAACCCTGTCTCAAAAAGCCAAAAATAAAAAAAGAGAAAGTTTTCAAAAATGAAAAAAGAATTCCAGAAAATGTTTTCTCAGAAGAGAGAAGAATGTCACTTATTTTGATAGTTTACCTGTTCAGAGTCACCTAACCCCACCCCTGGTCCCTCAGATGAGGGATGTGAATTATTAAGAGGAATCTGAGAAGCTGGGAAGCCATGGAGTCTGGAGAGGCACTGAGCACAGGGGCTGGTGTGGCCCAGGCAGCTCTGCATCCTCCAGAGGCCCACACTGTCCCTCCGGGCCCTCTCACCATGCTGATTGTGGTGGTAGAAGTGGAGCTCGGAAGAGGGTCAGGTAAGCAGCCTTGACAGTCACACTCAAAGAGAGTATAGCCAGGAGAGTGTTTGGAGTAGGCAGGCCTGGACCCGGGCAGGGAGGGAAACCAAGGTACAGGCTGAAGGCAGGATGTGGGAATCCTGGAGCTTGGTTTCCCTGGTGAGAGTTGATGTGAAACCCGCCTTTCTCAGGCCCTGAGGAGATCCAGAGCCCTTTACTTCTTCTGGAGGAGCCCAATAGCCTTCACTTGCCTCCTTGGAAGATGCTGGAGAGTCAGGTAAACGGGGTAGGGTGGAGGTGGGGGGGAGGAAGACACTGCTGACCCAGCCCTGCCCACAGGAACGATGCCTCACCTTTGACAGAGTCCTGGGCATCGATGCTGCTCAGGTAGGGTGGTCTGAGAGGGGGATGGGAGGAAGATGGAGTCTCAGGCCCCTGAATTCTGGGATACTGATGCTCCCCAGTGCCCGTGCTCAGGGCCGGCGGCACAGGGCACCTGAGAGGGCGGAATGTGCCTGTTTCTCCCTACAGGAGGCAGAGCAGGAGCTACTGGCACGCATCCAGTCCACACTGGCTTCGGTGGGCAGAGGCTACAGTGTAGCTCTGATTCTCCGGGGCCGGGAAACAGAGGCACCCCGACTTGTGCCCCAGGTGAGGAGCCACCATGTCACATCTCTTTTTTTTTTTCTGGTACCGGGAATTGAACTCACGACCTCGCACTTGCCAGTCAGGCACTGCTGCTGAGCTAAATCCCCAGCCCCTGTCACATGTCTCTTGAGGCTCAGGTGTCACTTCCCCCAGAAGACACTGGAGAATCTGCCTGCCCACCCCAGCCAGATGAGGTGTCCCTCCTTGGAGCTGCTGCTCCAAGCAGCCATAAGGACATAAGGACATTTTACCAGTGTCAGTTTTTGCAGCTATTGGGAGGTCAGGACAGGGGAGAAGCTGGAACTGGAGAGCTAGGGTCAGGGAAAGTGCTGTGCAAGGAGAAAGTCTACTTTTCACAGTTCTTGGTAATACCAATAATACCCTAAACTTGAAGGTTTTGTTGTAAGGCTTTATGGAGTGTCCCCAAATCAAAGCATCTGCCTCACAGCCTTGTCATGGCCCCTCTTCTGCAAGCACTAGGTCCCACTGAAAAGGCCTGCCTCTTTGTCCGCTTGCTGTGAATGTGAATCTGTTCTGGACACCGTGTTCCCGAGGCCTAGAATAGACCTCATGCTCAGGAAATGCAGGACAGGCTGATGCTTTCTCTGTCCCCTCTGAACAGCTTTCTTCACTTAGCTGCTGCAGGTGCTGTTTGAGGAAGCTCTGCTCCTCCATCACCCTGACTGCATGCTCAGTACCCTTAGCTTGGTGCAGGTGAGACCCTTGCGGGGGAGGAGATTGGGATGGGAGGCAGGGCCATGTGACGCTGTAGAAAGGGCCTGGGCCTAGGGGAACTTGGGTTCAGCCCCTCTCTATTCTTTGCCTCTCTGGGCCCACTTTTGCTCTGACTGAAAAATGGCTAAATTCTTGCACCCTGTTTAGTGAAAGAGGCCCCCACAGAAGGGGAAAGGCTCAGTTTGAAACAAGGGTGTTTGTGTAATCCCAGATCAGCCCCAATGGGAAGACCCAGGACCTGCTCTCTCCAGGGCTGGAGGACCTGTCCGTGCTAGAGGTGGCCCCTCTTGGCTTGTGAGTTGTCAGGGCCAGGGGTCTGAGGGTGCTATCTTAAGGGCTGATACCCCCAAACCTACCCCTTAAAGGTTTCTCCCCATGCCCATCCCAGCAAAAGGAAGCTCTGAGCTTGGCATCACACCTACAGGGCCTGGGTCTGTCCGCAGGACCCCCTCCCACACTTCACCCTAGATGCCCTCTTACTCCTTTCCCCCTAGTTAGACCTCTTCAACTCCACCCCTACCCCCATGTTCTGACTCAGTCCATTCTCACACTGGTACTTTTCAGTACCTCACTAAGCAGGACTTTAGTCTCTTCATCTGTGAAAGGGGGCAATACCTACTACCCTGCCCCCACCCCTGGTAGTCTACACAAGGAAAAACAAGATCATCAGGATGAGAGGTTTTTAGGAAGGTTTACCAAGCCTGAGGCCTCTGGGATAGTTCTTACAGGCTATGGACACTTTTATGGGAGAATCTAGGGGTCAGCACAGAACGCTGGTGCCTAGTGGCTGAGCTCAGAATCCCCTTCCTTCAGGGTGGTGGAAGGTGCCAGTGAAGTGGAGGTGTCTGACTCAAGAGCTGCCTCAGAGCTGTACTTGCAGGCTACAGGGCGTGAAGGCAGGTGAGCACAGGACAGCACCTGGCAGCCCTGCTCCCCAGGCGTTTGGCCCAAGCCTACCCTATCCTCCACAGGACTTGCCATCTGCTGACACTCACCATTTCCTGTCCTGGGCCTGATCCTCCTGAGGAGACTGGGACTCAGGGCGTGTGGCGAGGTGCTTTGCGGATCTTGCAGCTCCCAGGAGCCCTGTAAGTCTGAGAGGTTTTCTGATTCTGTTGGGAGCAGAGGGGGTAGCAAATAGGGTTGTGGTGAATCTATGAGGCTCATGCTCTGAAAGGTTTGCCATCTCTGGCTAGGGCAACATCAAAGTCTCTCCACCTTTCTTCAGCACTGATGCTAATGTCCCCTGGAGGCCAGGCTAAAACCCTTTGTGGGAAAATGATGTGGGCAAATGCAGCAAGAGAGAGACCTTGCGGAATTGCTCGCCACTTTCCATACATGCACTCTCCAGTCACTATTTCTTCAGAAGTTGATAAAAGCACAAGAGGTAGTTTTGCAAATAGTGTCTTCAAGCACTTTTGTCTCATTTTTTCTGACTTTTGTTTTTCTACTTTTTAATTTTTACATTTCTAATTCATTTCCAGCCACTTACATTCCTTCTATTATATCAAACTGCAAACTAGTAAAAAACCTAAATGTCCAAAAACCAAGATTGGAAATTTCCCAAGTAACTGTATTGTCATGCCCCAATCTGTATCCTTTTCTCAGTGCTCAAACATAATGAATACAAGCCGGGTGTGGTGGCGTATGCCTGTAATCCCAGCACTCGGGAGGCTGAGGCAGGAGGATCACTGTGAGTTCGAGGCCAGCCTGAACTGCACAGTGAGACACTGTCTCAAAAAGACAAAAAAAAAGAAAAAACAAACAAAAAAACATAATGAATACAAGCCGGGCATGGTGGCACACACCTGTAATCCCAGCACTCGTGAGGCTGAGGCAGGAGGATTGCTGTAACTTCAAGGCCTGCCTGGGCTACAAAGTAAACACAAGGCCACCCTGACTGCATAGTAAGACCCTATCTCAAAAAAGACAAAAAATAAATAAATAAAATAATGAATACAAAGTCAGGCATGGTGGCACATGCCTGTAATTCAAGTGCTCAGGAGGCTGAGGCAGGAGGATCGTTGTGAGTTTGAGACCAGCCTAGGCTACAAAGCGAGCTCAAGGCCACTCTGAACTGCATAGTGAGACTCTGCCTCAAAAAGACAAGAAAAAAAAAAAAAGAATACAATTGTGGTGGCTCAGGTGTGTGTCCTAGCACTTTTGGGGATGAAGCAGGAGGATCACAAGAGAGCCCACCCTGGGCAATTTAGCAGCTTAGTGAGACCCTATCTGAAAATAAAAAATAAAAATATCTGGGGCTATAGCACAATGTGAAGGCTCTGGGTACATCCCCCTTCCCATCATGTGGCCATAGAAAATAATCATTTCTAATTAATTTTATAAGTTTGTAATATCGTTGAAATATTGTCAAATTTAGAAGTGCCTAAAAACAAAATAGAGAAAGAAAAAAAAAAACCCTACCCTAAATTCCAGACTATTCCACTGTTTTCTTTCATTTCTCTTTTTTATTGGGTAAGATTCCTTTTTTAAAGAAATAGCTAGTTATGTTGAAATATAATTATGTTATGTTGAAATATAATTAATATACCATAAAATTTACTCTCTTAAAATAAGCTAAGTGGCTCATAGTATACTCACAAAATTGTGCACTGTTCAGCACCAATGTTAAATCAAAATTAAGAGATACCAGAAATAAAAGGATCATTGATATGTTACAGATGCTAGATAAAAATAAAAGGACCTATTCTGGAAGACATTTCCTAAGCCAGCACAGGAAGATAGTAGTTGGAAAATGTTCACCAGATTTAAAAAGCCAGGGTATTTTAAATGAAACTCTGGCAAGAAGAAAGTATAAACTGCTTACATTGTAGACAAGAAGGCAGGACAATGCTAAACCTCGGCTGCCATCAAAGGCGAGTCTATAAGGCAGGTGCTTGTTGCTTTTTCTTGGTTGGTTTTGCAAGCTGAATGTGGTGGGGCCTTCATGGCTAACCTTCACCATGTAGGAAAACAATGTGGAGCAGCTTTGTTTTTTCCTCTTTATTGATTTATCACAAAGCTGTGGGCTAAAATAAACTCTTATCTTTTCCTCTCCTCCATTCTCTGTCCAGTAACTAAATTTAGAACATTTCAGGATTATTTTACCAATAGTTTTAGGACATTTTACTCACTCCAAAAAGGAAATATGTTTTTTTTTGCATGCATTCCCCACCCTGCTTCCCCTCAGCCAAGACAGAAATAAAGACACACACACAAAAAAGGAAAAACTACTCTAAATTCCACACTATTCCACTGTTTTCTTTCATTTCTCTTTTTCATTGGGTAAAATTCCTTTTTAAAAAAATAGCTAGCTATGTTGAAATATAATTAATATGATTTTTACTGATTAATATAATTTTTCACTGATTTTTCTGTTTCTAAAGATATGACCAGCCAGGGATGATGCAATCTCAGGACTCAGAAGGCTGAGACAGGAGGAGGAGATCATTGTGAATGCAAAGACATCCCGGGTTATGTAGTGAGTTCAGGACCAGCCTAAACTATATAGTGACAGCCTATTTCAAAACTAAACTAAACTAAAACAGCTAAACTAAACTAAAGCTATGTCTATTTTGGTCATTTTCACATACAGTAAATGAAATCATGCAATATATGATCTTTTGTGTATTTCTTTTCATTTAACATCATATTTTAAAGGTTCATTCAAGTTGTAGTATCAAAATTTTATTTTTATTGCTAAATACTGTGATATTCCACTGTATAAATATACTGTGTCTTGTGTATCATTTCTCCACTGATGGACATTGAGTGATTTCCATGTTTGGTTACTGTAAACAATGCTGCACCAAACATTTATGTCCAAGTTTTTGTTTTCAATCATCCTCAATACATGCTGAGAAATGATACTGCTGGGTCGTATGCTAACTTCATATTTATTTATTCATTTAGGTTTTTTGACACAGGGTCTTGCTATATAGTCCAGGCTGGCCTTGAATTCACTTTGTGGCCCACGTTTGCCTTGAACTCATGGCGATCCTTTTGCATCAGCCTCCCGAATACTGGAATTACCGTGTGCGCCGCCACAATTACCATGGCTGGCCTACATGGTAACTCAGTTTTATTTTATTTTTTATTTTATTTTATTTTAAACAGTAAAACATGGATAACTTAGTAATAGGGGGATCTACCGAATTACAGACACAGTGGTAGGACATTATCAATGGTTGTTATTTTACCTATTTGTATCTTCAAGATAGTTTCTCAGGATAACAAATAGACAAATAATAGTGAGTTACAGACAAAAATGGTAGGAAATTATCAATGGTTGTTGTACTATACTTTGGTTTCTTCAAAATGGTTTCTAGAGAAAATAGAGCTATACATGAGTGATCAATTAAATAATCATTGGCTATTCTGAATGGTTGTTGTTGGAAACACACAGTAATAAACATACATCCATTTACAAAATAACAGGAACAATAAAAACATTACAGAGTTGTAGACAGATTGGTAGAAAATTATCAGTGGCTGCTGTAATACTTGTTGGTATCTTCAAAGTGGTTTCTCAGGAAAACAGATATACAAGAAAGATCTAAAAAGTAGTTACAACCTAAGGGTTGTGAAAAATAGTGGATTACCTCCTCATCATGACTCCTTTCACTGAGGTATGACAGCTGGAAGGAAGGCCAGGATTGAAAAGGAGGACCGAAAGACTAGCACCAGTGTCCAGCAACAGGCTGTTTACTTTTTCCTCTATGGTCATGATTTCGCGGGGCTCCTCCTTGGAGATAATGGTCTGGCCAGAGGGAGAAGGCAGAGTATGCCCTGGGCCCCTTCATTCCTGTTGGACCAGCTGGTAGGAGGGGTCTGTGCTCTGGGGCCTTCACTTCAGAGGGCAGACCGACCTCTAATGATCACCTTTACAGTCAGAGCATGGCCCAGGGGGCTTCTTAGGGCAGTCCCTCCTGAGGTGGCCTGGCTTCCTCCTCCTCACAGCTATAGAATACTGAGGAGGCAATTCTTTTTTGTTTGTTTTTTTTCCGGTACGGGAATCGAACTCACGACCTTACGCTTGCCAGGCAGGCGCTGTACCCCAGCCCCTGAGGGGGGCAATTCTTACTAACAACTCAAGAGAGCTATCTGGGGCAAAAGGCATTTTTTGTAGCTTTTTTCTACTATTTGGGGCTGACTGAGTAATAAACATCTTTAAGAATAGTTTGTCCCTCTACTGACCTGGGATCCAGGGAAGTATGCTTTATCAGTGCCTCTTGTCTATGAAAGCAGAGAGGTGTTCTCTCCAGCCTCCCAGAGCATTGGGACCCAGCAACCCCTTAGTGTCCTCTCCCCACCCGTCAACACAGGCGGCAGGAACATGTGGATGAAGTCCTCGGCCCGCTAGTCAGTCTCAGCATCATCAGGTGCAAAGTGTCCCAGGCAGGTAACCTAGACACGCACCTTCTCCATGAAGGCAGTTCTTCAAAATCTGAATATCGGGCACCCATATAATCCATGAAGTCTCGGTGCAGACCTCTCGGGAGCTCCACTCTCTCCTCCACCGCAGCCTGTACAGTCAGGGGAAGAATGGCCTCCAGGGGGTCTCCCCAGGTATTGCACAAGGTCCTCCTGGTTTCCAGCTCCCGAATGACTCTCGCATCCCCAGTCAGCTCAACCTGAGTCGTCGGGCGTCGGTACTCTCGTGTTCTCCGAGTCCTTGTTCATCAGCTGCTCCTGTGCTGACTCCGGACCTTTCTGGCTCTCAAGGGCAGGGCCAAGAGTGACCTGCCATGTGGCATGTTTTCCCAGAAGTTTCTCCGTGTCGGGATGGTTCACGCACGCCTCCGGGCGGGCCTCCATGGCCGGCGCGGGGCGGGTGGATTGTGTCGGTGTTTCTCTGTGGCATGGTAGTTCTTGACCGGGCGGCGACAGCCGGCCCGAAGTCCGGCGCACGTCTCTGCACCGCTTCCCGGGTGCCTGCTGCCTGCCTCCCGGATGCTGCGCGCACGGCTGCGTGCAGGGCCCTGGTAACTCAATTTTAAATCTTGTCTTTACTGAGATAAAATTCACATAACATAAAATTAACTATTAACCGTGTTATGTACAAGTTAGCATTTAGTACATTCACAAC